CCCCAAAACCCCAAAACCCCAAAACCCCAAACCTGATGATGATTATTGAGTAATATATAAAGAAGCCATCATGGAAATATCGATAGACTCCGCATCAGACATTGCTTCCTTGTCTGAAGACTCAAGAGATAATTGAATAATATACAAGGTAAGCACTGAAGCCACATTTCCTAATTTGCTTCATTTCTAACGTCTTATAGGTCTACCTTGGAATGCTTGTATTTCTTTCAGTAATAACAGTAGTGCTAACATGCTGGTGGACTACCAAATTCTTATTGATCTTTAAAACCAGGAAGAAACTCACAACTCTGTTTTTGTTCCTACTGACCCTCTCTTCAATCGCAAGGCTTGGGTATTTCATAATGGAAATTGTTTGGAGGCAAGGAAATTGCAGCAGCTCTCCTTCAAGATGAGGAGAGGCTCCAGTTTATTGGCTTTCATCAACCTTATTCTCTTCTGCTGTGGTTGTAAATATTTTTAATTGGGTCTACCAAACTTTAAGAATGAAGAAGTTTATTACTGGGGTGAGGCAAAAGCAGATTTTATGACATATAATCTTTGCAACCTTATCAGGAATAGTTCTCCTTGCCTATTTGATATTTGTAATTTCTGTTTGAGCACTTGCAAGAGTTGATGTGATTCTTGCAAGAATCTTCACGCTTATCTATGCTATCACGTTCTTCTTAATTGGCTTGATCTTTATATTCATTGGATGGAGGTTTTACAAGGAGTTCAAAAAGTTCTACGAAGACAAGACCAAAGCTATAAGAAACAGAGTCTTCATGAGCATCTTAGTAATTTCTACAACATTTATTTTAAAAGGGATTGTAAATGTCGGTAAGTTTTTCATTCACATTTAGCTTACTACTGGGCTGACGTGAATATCAAATTCAGATCTGAATGGTTAAAACAAAATGCTTTCTGGTATCCTCTTCTGTTGCTTGTCTATTTCGGGCTCACAGAGATCCTCCCAACAGCTTTCCTCTGAATGGGAATCAGGAATATATACCACCAAATTGAGAGAAAGAAAGAAATTGAGCCCTCATACAACCTTGCAATGACAACATCATCCACCGAATCCCTTGCAGATACCTACTTATCAAACTCAGTGGTCACAATAAATCGAGTTTCTATGAACACCACCACATAACTAAATTTCAGGTATCAAACCTCCAAATTCAATATTTCCCAGTAAAATCGGGGTTTTGGGGTTTTGGGGTTTTGGGGTTTTGGGG